TCTACAGCTTGTGCTCAAGTTCTGCACTTCGTGCTCGACCTCGGCAGCAAGTGTTTTCAGCTCATGCTCGGCCTCTGCAGCTCGTGGCTGACCTCAGTAGTGAGTGTTTGAGCTCTACAGCTTGTGCTCAAGTTCTGCACTTCATGCTCGACCTTGGCAGCAAGTGTTTGAGCTCGGAAGCTCGTGTTGACCTCGGCAGCTCATGTTTGAGCTATGCACTTCGTGCTCGACCTCTAAAGCTCATGGCTAACCTCGGCTGTAAGTGTTTGAACTCTTCAGCTCATGCTAAAGTTCTGCACTTCGTGCTCGACCTTGGCATCAAGTGTTTGAGCTCTGCAGCTGGTGGTTGACCTCGGCAACTTGCAGCTCATGGTCCAGCATTTTGCACCTCGACATTTCGCAGCTCGTGCTTCAGCATCTCGCACCTCGGACTTGTGCAATTTGTAACTTGGACTTCTGCAATTCGTAGCTCGTGCTCGAGCAAGACATTTGTAGCAGCTCGTGCTCCAGCATCTCGCACCTCGGACTTGTGCAATTTGTAACTTGGACTTCTGCAATTCGTAGCTCGTGCTCGAGCAAGACATTTGTAGCAGCTCGTGCTCCAGCATTTCGCAGCTCGTGCTCAAGCAAGATGCTTGCAGCTCCTCATTGTCGAGCTTGAGTAATGGAGGCCAGCCGTAGTCAGCTCGGCCATAGCTGCTTAGTCTTCTTCTGTTAGTGGAACCATAGGCTCTTGTTTCCTAGCAGCTGATTGGATTCTTACTTAAATGACAATATTGCTAAGGCTTCTTCCCGAATTGCCCGAAAGTACTTACTTTATAGCCAGCTACGTACCTTCAAAATCAATTTTCATTAATTACATATATGTGAAGTAGAAACCAAAATGCAAAGTTATAAAGGCAGAAAACCAATATCTAGAATCGAATCCTTTGGAAGGAGAACAGTAAAATCCAAAAAGCTAAAAAGAAAGAAAAAGAAAAAAGATTATGGAGAAATTAAAATCTGGGGGAAAGAAAAAAAAGACTTTTGAGTAGGTTTTTAGAGGGTTGCAAAAATGTAGTAGATTTTACTTCCTAAGATCTGGTGAAACTTGTGCAGATGGTTGGAGAAAATGAAAGAGATTTTTTTCAAAAATGAAGCAATCTTAGAAAATATGGAGTAATGGAGAAAAGAATGAAGGCAGTGAAAGTAGTGGACGCTGGAAAAACGGTTGTTTGTGTAGTGAAGTTAGGCAGTTGGTTTGCTGAGAAAGGTTGAATGGTGCTGGACTGCCTTGCTTCTGCCGAGCTGGTGCACTGCTTTGAGCTTTGCCGCTGCCGAGCTGGACTGCTTTGTTGCTGCCGAGCTGGACCATTTGGTTGCTGTCGAGCTAGGCTGTTGTGCTGCTGCCGAGCTGGTGCGCTGCTTTGGGCTTTGGCGCTGCCGAGCTGGACCGTTTGGTTGCTGCCGAGCTGGACCGTTGTGCTGCTGCCGAGCTGGGCTGCTCTGCTGTTGCCATCAAGCTGAGCTCATGTTCTCACCGAGGGCGCCACGTTTGTGAGAAATTTGGGCCTTTTTTTTTTGTGAGAAATTTGGGCCTTTTTTTTTTTTTTA